TCTTCCAAGGGATTTGTGTTCCAGGTAAGGAAGACATTCATAACATTTGGTCATTGCTTGTTACCATTGGAAAAGTTTATTAGGATCCCCGGCTCAATGAACTCTACCCCAAAGTAGAGGAAGGACCCAAATGACCTCCTCAAACTTGTGGTCACTGTCCTGAGACAAAGCATTGAAGAACAGGAACAGGGCACTGGCTTATCCAGGCTCTACAAGTTGTCTGCTGGGTAAAGAGCCAGCGGCGGGTGGTCACAAAGAATTTGGATTTTCAAGTTAAAGTTGTTGCTGTTGTTCAGTCACTCAGTTGTGTCTGACTCTTTGTGACCCATATGGACTGCAGCACGCCAGGCTTCCCTCTCCATCACCGTCTCCCAGTGTGGTATGTTAGCTTCATACCTTCCTTTTCTTGCATCTTCACAACAAGGAAAAGCTCCATGCTGGCCCCACTCAATCTGTCTAGCACATTTCACTACCTAGTGCCTTCTGATTTTTGTGGAGTCACACAGTTCAAGAAAAAAATCTACAAACAATAAATGCTGGAGGGGATATGGAGAAAAGAGAACCCCCCTACACTGTTGGTGAGAACGTAAATTGGTACAGCCTCTATGCAGAACAGTACAGAGGTTCCTTAAAAAACTAAGAACAGAACTACCATGTGACTTAGCAATCCCACTAGTAGGCATATGCCTGGAAAAAACCATAATTCAGAAAGATACATGCATCCCAATGTTCACTGCTGCACTATTTACAACAGTCAGAACATGGAAGCAAACTAAATGTCCATTGACAGAGGAATGGATAAAGATGTGGTACATACAGACAATGAAATACTACTCGGCCATAAAAAAGAACAAAATAATGCCATTTGCAGCAACACTGATGGATCCAGAGATGGTCATATTGAGTGAAATCAGACACAGAAAGAAAATATCATAGGATATCACTTGTATGTAGAGTCCAAAAAAGGGTACAAAAGAGCTTAATTCACAAAACGGAAGCAGAGTCACAGATGGTGAGAACTTACGGTTACTAGGGGATAAGGACGGGGACAGATAAATTGGGAGGCTGCAGATGACAGACACATTTCTGTATATAAAATAGATGTCTGATAAGAACCTACTGTATAGCACAGGGAACTCTACTCCATACTCTGTAACGACCTATATGGGAAAAGAATCTTTAAGAGTGGGCGTATATATGTGTATAACTGATTCCCTTTGTTGTACACCTGAAAGTAACACAACATTGTAAATCAAATATACTTCAGTAAAAGAGAGGGAGGCTATGGGTCTTACTACAGCAAAGAGCAGAACTGAGGAAAAACGTGGAGGTTGAAAGTCAGATCACAAAATGCTCCCCAAAACCCAAATAAAAAGTATTTAACTGAATCATTTGTTGAGCAGTATGCACTTTTAAGAAACTAGGGAGAGAGCAATGTAAATAATCCACTGGGAGGGTAAAGGAGAATGTGATTACTCCATCTGATATCATCAACTTAACTGATTTTTAGTTTCTATTATCTGTTTTCCTAGAATAGAAGGTCTGTGAAGGCAATCATTTATTTCTGTTTATCTACAGTAACTTCAGTGCCTAGTACACAGTTGTTGAATAAATATGATCTGGGGTATTTTTCTGAAGAAAAATAGGATGGATAACTATTTTGAAGTCATAGACCATTTGGATTGGGAGAGATTTCTTGGATATTAAGACACTTTCCTCCTGCAGATCAGAAGACAAACACATTTTTAGCTAGTGAGGAAAGGGTCTGGATCCCAAGCATCTGTTTTCCTTTCAAAAGTTAGGATCCTATCAGGCAGAGACATAGATGACAAGCAAAATCAAAGACAGACAAAGGAAGCAAAACACACATTTTAAAGTACAGTTTATCCAGGAAATAAAGATGATTAATTTAGAAGGGAGAAAATTGTGTGTAGGGAGAAGGGAAGGGGAAAATGCCAAGTACAACACAACCCTTTACTATGGCTCAGTCAAGTGAGGGAAGCTTTATGAAGAGTTCAGTGCAACTCTGAAGAATGGAAGGAATGCGTGTAAGCAGGAAGGAAGGGGAGGAAGAAGCAAGCACATAGACTGATGAAGAAGCTCCAGATTGTCTCAGGGTGGAGAGTCTGTATCAGCTGCACACAGACACAAAAGGAAAGAGCCAGATTATGGAAAGCCTAAAAAAGCTGAGAAACAGAGTAACAGTAACGAAGGAGATATTTAAGACTCTTGGGCACAAATGAGTCCAAATGGATAGTTCTTAAATTTAAGATGTATTTTAAATTTCTTCTTTGTTCCCCGAATATATCAGTTATAAAGCTTCCTAATGATTCCATGCCAGCAACAAAGAAAGGCTGCGCATGTGTAAGCATCTATGTGTGCATGTGTGCTAAGTGGCTTCAGTCATGTCAGACTCTTTGTGACCCTATGGACTGAGCCCATCAGACTCCTCTGTCCATGGGACTGTCGTGCCCTCCTCCAGGGGATCTTTCTGACCCAGATATCAAACTCACATCTCATGCCTCCTGTGTTGGCAGACAGGTTCTTTACCACTAGTGTCCCCCATGGGGCGCCCTGGGCTATAGTCCATGGGGTCGCAAAGAGTTGACCAGGCTTCTCTGTCGATGGAATTCTCCAGGCAAGAATACTGCAGTTGCCATTCCCTTTCCCAGGGGATCTTTCTAACCCAGGAATCGAATACATATATAAATATCTATCTATATATACATTAGATTATTAAGCTAAGAGAATTGTATTTACTATAATTTGCTAAGAAAATATTTTCTTCTTTAGCTCAAAAGAGTATGAGTTTTACAGTTATCACATATTAAGTAAACTGAAGAACTTTTACTTAACCTTGGAAAATGATGTAGAGTTATTTGATAAACTGATGAAGTATTAGCAATTCAGATGATAGAATAAAATGTACAATCAATTGCTAAAGTTCCAGAAACACTTTATTTAAAAATGGAGTTGTAAATGCATAACAAAATAACATAAGTAATAAAGGTAACAAAAATAAATAAGGAGAATAATGTATTCATACAAAATAAAAATAACATAGTAAAAGGCCAAATGTTTGTAATTGAACAAAACTGTGTAAACACTTAAATGATAATGTAAGTAGAATAGATGCTAATATTTTCCTAAACAACTCCTTACCTTCTACTTCCATGTTGATATCATCAGTACCCAAACATTAAACAAAGATGAAACAGTGGTGATTTAATTTTTTCTACTCTTTCTTCAAATGGATCAACCCTGTTTTAACATTTCATTTATTCCTTCAAAGCAAATGTATCTTTCCATTCATGCTCTTTAAAACCATTTTTTCAGTCTTCCTTTATTAGACAGAATGGGGAATTTAGCTTTACAAGGAGAACAGTTCATTTGCTTTTTTTTAAATTAAAAAAAAAAAAAATGAGATCCATTATACAACAGACTTTTGTTTCTATGTCTCTAAAAACAGGGTTTTTATTTTTTTTTTTGCATCTTTATTAACTGGCCCAACAGTACAGGATTTTTAAAAATCCTGTAAACTTTTGAATTGAACAGTTACTTTCTTAAAACAAATGTAGCACAGGGTTATTGCTGAAATATTAAAGACTATTTCATGAAAGTTGCAGCTTTAACCTTTATAAACTGATGGGATCAAGGGTTTCAAAAATCCAGGTCTACTAATAATATTTAACTGAATTAAGAATTATCCAAAATTATAGTGTTCTGGAAACATAAAGATAATTACTTTCTTTTTAAACTTATCCAAATGTGAACTTACTGAAAAGAGAAAAAACAAGTTAATAGAAGATACTTTTCATAAGTTTCCTGTTTAGCATAGGCCCAAAGCCTTGGTCGTCATCTTGTAGGGTCCTTATAAATGTATATGACTGAGACAGGATTTACTATTGGGTCCTACAGGGAAACACACAGAAGCAATTCATTGCTTGGGAGTGAAACTATCTACTAATCTTATGACTACTGGTTCTCCAAATTTCCTAATGCCCCAAATTTTAATTTCATGATCATTTCAAGGGAAAATTTTTTTCAACTGTCACATATAAACTTGGTAACACAGGACCTGTATACATGTTCTTAGTTTTAAAAATAGACTCCACCTATAACCTATCTGTCTAGTTTGATCCTTCTACTTATCATTTGCCCTAAAATGAGACAAAATCTTACTTTCACTAAAAAAAAAAAAAAAAGGGGGGGGGGGAAAGTGCCAAATTGATCTTTTTGAAAGTGGAGTAAAACACTGCGGGGTTAAAACAAATACAATTATCAATCTCCTATATACAAAAAACGATGGTAGTCCTTATTTATTTATAGATATGTCCACCTACCACTCCCAGCAAATCTTAGTGCAAACATAATAGTTCATTTCCATAAACCCTAAGACAATTTACGCAGCAACAAAGTTATATAAATCACATATATGTTGGAAAATTTTAGAACACAAGAAGGACTGTTCTGAAAGGTCAGTTTGACTGTGGAGAGCAATATGTCATTGTATCCAATGGTAATGAATACTAATATAAATCCTGTTATTAAGAAGCAAATATAAGTGTTTAACAAATCTGTACAGACGAAGAGCAAGTCCATTTCAGGGAGCAGCTTGGCACAGGAGACATGGGGGTCAGAAAGGTTGGGTATTTAGTTTGCTTGTAGGTCACAGCATGGCTTAAAGAAAAAAAAACAAAGATCTATGAAGGGAAAGGATGCAATTATCTAATTCAATTTGAAAATCATAAAAACCACAAAATGTGAAACTTTCACAATCTAATTTTTCCTCTATGTGCATCAAATGGTCATCTCAATGGTTCGAAAGGATTACTATGGCTCCACGTTATAGATAAAAAATAAATAAATAAAATTAAGAAGACAGAGATAACAAGATTGCAGTTGACCAAGCTGTCTTATTTTCTCTAAAAGTCAACACTATGCTGTTTCCAATAATTCTAGTCATTCCACAGGTTATTATTTTAACAAGCAAGAGAAAGTCATTCCTGTACTGTAACGTCCTCCTCTTCCCCTTCGGGGTTGAACCTATTGAAATGTATACTGAAATCAGCCTCAGACTCGGCATTCTCAAATTCGGCTGAGACTGCACCAGCAGCAGGATGAAGAACCCTAGCTTCTGGTTGGCAAAGTGTCGGTGTCTGACCCGGGCTGCCGTGGTCATTCACAGGACTGGACTTCTGTTTTGGTGGAGATGGCAAGATAGCACTGGGAAATCCCATGTTGTTCAGAGCCTCCAAAGTTCCATCCGGGTCGATCATAGCATTGATAGCTGAAAGAAAGGAAAGGAATAGAGGGATGCAGCTAAATTTGGATATGAATATTGCTTATGATTTGGATATTTTAATTACTAATGCTTATATAAGCTTTAATTTGCTTAGTCCTTCCAATTCTGTATTTAAAACCCCACTTTCAGTAATTCTGGGGCTCATCTATATCATAGATTATAAAAACCTGAAAGCTTTCTATGGTCCCTTGAGTAGGCTATTTACAGGCATGTGAACCTGCTGGAAGACTAGGATTTGGAGATGTGGAATTCAGGAAAGGTCTCTTTGAAATATGCTTTAATCATTATAAGAGGATGATGAACATACTGGTTAGGACTGAAAGAAACTACTCCTCCTGGCTTTATTTATTACTCAAATAATTGGGATTAGTTGCTAAGATGGGTTCAGAGTAACATGAAAGTTGAGGAAGCAAATAGCACACTCTGAAGCTACCATACCATGTTGTCATTCATCCTGGTGAGTATGCTAGCGTATTTGTTATGCACAAGTATATCTTTATGGACCACTGAGTCATAAAAATCCTTCCCAGCCTAGATATTCATATTCCACGGCAGGCCAAACAGACCTTGTATTCTCCATGGCAAGGGCCAGATAAAGACCAGCTTTCAATCCAAAAGATCCTTGAGCGGACAAGGGAAAGTCTTTGGCAGTGATTTTCAATGTGGTATTGGGTAGAGGGGAGTTGAGGAAAAGAAGGATCACAGATAGAATTATTTAAGAGGGTACTTAAAAAAAAAAAAAAAGAATTATTTAAGAGGGTACTTTTAAAAGCATACTCCCTTCTGCCAGCTAACAATCATGTAAACAAGCCACTTTGCCTCATGGGGGTATACGCTTAGGTGTGCTGAGGCTGAGAAAAGATTCAGAACCACTTAGCCAGGACCAACACATCATGCCTATGATAATTCAAACAAAGACTGAGTAAAATTAGAACCTACTCTGGAATCTGCGTGTTTTACCACTGGGGACTTCTAGGTCAAAATACACATAGGCATAAGTGCATAATTACAGATCTGACACACACCAAAAACAATGTCCCTGTCAAAGTTTAGGAGGCCAACAGTCTCTTTTTCTTCTCTACTCCCTCTTCTGGTCCCTGTGTCCAATGTGCACGCATTTCTTGTGGTACATCCAAATGATTGTTATGACTTATAAAACCATTATTACTTCACATGGATTATACCACAAATATAATTTAAGAATTATCAAGTCAAGTAAACAATGCTAATTGTCAACAAGCATTTTCAGCTGCATATACACATTTCAATATATTATTTTACATATTTTTCATATACTATAATTTATAAATATATACACAAATAATAGATACTATATAGTATAGATATATAATATAATCTATATTGTATCTACCATATAGATACAAATAATAGATACTATGTAATACTATGAATTGTATTTTTAATTATTTACTTTTTTATGAGTAATTTAAATACACAGACCTTTATATCTTTATTCATACATCATTACACTTAATCAAATAGTGTTCAAATAATTAATAGTATTTTAAAAATATCACTTAGGATGTACTTGCTCTAAAATTGTTAGCTCTTGATACCTAATCAGTAGTAAATTTACCTTGTAGCTGCTTTTCAACTCTTTTTAGCTCCTGTAAGATAGATGAAATCTCCTGTAGGGAAAACAATGACAAGAATTAGCTTACTTTAATTAAAACATTTTTATTTAATAAGCCACAAACTTTACACTAATTTTATTTGATATCCTTAATATTACTGACATGGCCCCAATCTGTAGCAACAGGATATGAGATAATTATGATATTCAGTAAAAAGACTTGAATTTTAAAATCTTTAATACTGAAACAGAATTCTTTCCAGTGAGATAGTAATAGAAGATGAAAAGTTAGATAATAATACTGTATATGCAAAGATATATTGATCAATCTTGCAACAACTGTAAAAAGCACTTAAGGATTGTCTATGGAAAATATACAAACTGCAACCTCAATTTTAGGATGATTTCCTGAATAATAAAAACCTGTACAAATTCTGGAGAGATAAGCAATCTGTTAAGTAAACAGAAATGATTCATGTCAACTTATATTTGAATTTGCTCTTATTTCAAAATTGCTTATTTATAACATACAATTATTATATGAACAAGAGTGTATTAATAGTGAGAAACATAAAAGGTTCCTCCAAACACTGTACAACTTTGAAGCAGTCAACACTTTAAAACCCTGTGACAGAAAAGAGAAAGCATAAAGGGTCCCAAATTTGTGCTCTTATATCTTCTTTTATAAATGAAATCAATGAACAGTTAAAAAATCAGCATATCATTCCCTGAACATAAAACCTTTAAAAAATGTTTTAATATTCAAGAAAAATTACCATACCATGCTTGAGGTTTTCACAATAGGGACTTCACTTTCAGCTCTTAACTTGCTTTCTATTTCATCCCAATTCCGATCTTTGTCTTTAAATAATATTCTATAAATAAAAAAATAAGCTTTTTATATTTCATATTTTAAAAACATCACATTTTTAATGATAACACAAAAACAATATATCTTTTCAAAGCTAAACAAGAATTAAAAATACAACTAAGTGTTACATGAACTGTGAATTAAACACTGAGCCAATATTAACAATAAACTCATTTATGTGATAGATCTGTACTAAAAAAGTAACTGACTAGCTACAAATAGACACATAAAAACCCTTTAGTATTTGTCTCATTCTTTATTGAGAACCAAATATAAAACAAATGTAGACGACAATATAACCCCAAAATTTTATCTAATATTTTTATATAACCACCTTTTATAACAAAAATACAACTTGTTTCATACAGTACATATGCAGTATAAATATAAGATGAATTTAAGATGAAAACAGGTTGAATTAAGTATAAGCAATTGAGTCTGTTAGGACCGCTTTAAACAGGAAAAGGCTTTTTAGTAACTGATCAAAGTGCGTACGTAATTTCAAAGGTTGAAAATTATAATAGAGTACTTATGCTTCTTTTCTTTAAAAATGCTAAATCATGTTAATATATTTTACATAATAACCTGTTAAGAGTTAAGAAACTATCCTTTTGACAAAAACAATTGCCAATAAAGATCCTATGCTCGAAATTAATTTCAGGCATCTTATAAAATAAAGCATCACAAAATTCTGACTTGTCTTTCAAATGTGGTATCTCTGTCTTCAATCTAGAAGACATGATCCAGCAGCTTTAGAGAGCTGTAAATACTAAGTACCTTTTTAGTTTCTATTTGAATTTCTTCATTGGGCTGGGAATCTAGTTTAACTGCCTTATACAATAACCAATATTGTACAAGAAAGTAAAGTATTACTATTAGAAGTTGATCAGTATTTAAGTAGTAAACTAAATTACATTTTTATTTGTATTTCTTCAAAATTCAAAATGCCAGATTCAACTTATTTAAAAACATGAAATTCATCAATATCAAGTCAATACCAAATTCATCATGTCAAATTACAAGTCTGGAACATCTACAGTTACAAATAATCATGCTTAAAAAGGCAACGATGGATCCAGAATCTTAGAAGAGAATACTCTTCTGATCTACTGTTAAAATTTCTACACCCCAAAGACTAAATATCCTTGCTAGCTATCTAGGAGCTGTTATCCTAATGACTGTGAAATTAAGGCCTGAGAAACTACTGTGTGCTCTCTAAAAGAGTCCTTAGAGCATTAGGATTGGTGAAAGTAAGAAAACAATGACTATTTCATGAGTCTGTGCTTAGCCATCCTGAAAACTCAGTGAATTTTGCCAGAAGATGGTTACTGAGTACAATGTTAGTGCTTTTTCAAATCATTAAACCATACATATTTCATCTTTGGTAAAAATGCTACCTGAGACTCCTAAATCTCACACACACACACACACCCAACACACATCCCAGACACACACACACACACACACATCCCAGACACACACACACATCCCAGACACACACACACACACACACACACACACACATCCCAGAAGTTCTACGCCACTAAAGGGATAAAAAATTTAAAGATAATTTGTAAATACTGTGCTGCAGGTTTATAAAGCCAATCATAATTTTGGCTTCATAGAGTGAAGTGTAATACTTAAAACACTAAGGAAGCAGAAAACTACATCAAGAAATCAGGCCAGATCATAATGGTTAGAATTTAAATGGTTTTGTGCAAAGGTCATTACAGATCTTTCAGAAACAATCAGGGCTTTCAACTGATCTTCATATTACATGATGCATTCAAAAGAGTAGTCAGACTAAACAGCAGCATGAAAATATACTGAATTCCAAAGCTAATTTCATTCAATAATTTAACTATGAAGCTAAAACTCCTTTTTGATAAAGTAGTCGGTTTAGGTAAAGAAGAGTCTTAGGCACATATTCTAAGCCCCCTACAATCTATTCTCTAGCACTGGCCCTCAATCCATGCAAATCAGGGGTTGGAAACTGGGAGCTGACCAATGCAGGGACATACTGCACACCCTGAGGAGGGCACTTTCACATGGAATCCAAGGATCTATAGCAAGTATTAGAATAACTTACAGGATAGTTTTAGACAGGTCTGGGTAGGCATTTCAGTTTATAACTCCTGGTACAGACCTAAAGACCAGTCATTTTTCAAACTATTCTAGTACTATATGTATAAAAGGCTCAGGCCTCTATTCTTTAGATTTTGCTTACCAAAAATTATATCTAGCTTTGAATATTACTTCCTCCACAAAGCCTTCCCTGACAGTCCAGGGTGAAGGTGATCCTTTCTCTGTTCTTACCTCTAACTGGGCACTAATCTATCATGTGCTCTCTTGTACCATAGTTACCTGTACATACGCTGTCCTTCGCCAACCAGATGTAAGACCGTAACAGTGGGGAGCATGTTTTATCTTTCTTATTGTCTCTCACAGAGCTTGCCACAGTGCTTTACACACAGCAAAACTCAACACTCAAACTGAAGGCAACAAATTAACATTAAAAAAATATTTATTTTTTATACTTTCTAAATTCTGTCAAATTTCTGAGACAACAAAACCAACCAACCAACTAACCATCAATGTGTTCAATGGTCACAATTTTAATTAAATGTCTAAGCTACAAATTTTCTTTTTTTCTAGAGGAGACTAGGGATGAGTTAATTCAGTGCAGACTGAGAAAGATACTGTGTGGTAAGGAATTATCAACAGAAGAGAATGGTGTAAGGCAGGTACTCTATGAAGATCTACTGAATGAATAAATGACTGGATGAGGGCTCACTTACTGGCGAAAAAAGGCATGTATTTCAGCAGGTAGGATGAAATAATATGGGATTCCCATCTATAGGTAAGGAGGCCTCAAGCTTTTCCTGTTGCTAGGTCACATAACCACATGAGGAGACTTACATGGTGTCTTTATGGATAATACTGGTGTATTAAACAAACCAATCCCCCAAACCAATGAAATCGATAAAATTTGATAATTAAATCTCAGGCAAAGTGCTATTATCAGCCACATTGGGTTTTTTCCTCCTTAATTTTATGTTTTCCTAAGTGGCATGTGTATGTCCTGAGAGAGAGGCAAGATAATCAGGGAAATGGAAATAAAATATTAAAACTCTTTATATATATACACACATATATATATATTTTAAAGCTACGCATTTGATGTATTAACTTCCTGTGGCTTTTTTACGATAAAGTCCAAACTCCTTAAACAAGTTCTGCCCAAACTGGTCCTTCCTAATCTCTCCAATGTCATGTGTCATTATCCTCTACCCTGCTCACTTCACCTACTTTTTGACTAATGCTATGTAAAATTTAGCTATATAGGTCATCCTTCAAAATTTACTAGAAAGGAAAGTAATCTGCTTTTATAGAAGCAAGGGTGTCTGAGTACACAGTACCTGATCTTTCCAGCTGTTTTATCTATAGACTGTCTTATCTTCTTAGAGAACTGAAAGACGGATGAGAGCAACAGGTTATCTCCCATGACCTGAAACATGGAAAGGGAAGAAAAGACATTAAAATACTACCACTACATCAGATAAGCACCAAGAATGGTCACAACTCACTATATTTAGGGGCATTTCATATTTATGCTAATTTTAATAAAACTCGATAAAGGATTTAATTAAGAGTACTGTGTAACTACATTGAGCATGAGAAATAAAAATTGAGAAAGGAATTCTTGTTAAATAACTCATCACCTTTCCATATTATTTTCATCGTATAATTTTCAAAAGACAACCCATGTTATCTAATTTTTAATTACTATCATGATCCTGTCTCTCATGCTTCCAATTCAAATTATCATAATTGGGAGAATATAAGTAACTTAGAATAATAAATTTGTCATCTATTCTTTCAAAAAATAAGAGGAACAAAGAGATCAAGAAGATTACAATCCTTATTCTCCACAGTGGGACAAAGAAGTTTTTAAAATGTATACAAAATAGTAAGTTTATTTTTTAAGATTTTTTTTTTAATGTGGACCATTTTTCCAATAGTCTTTATTGAATTTGCTAAGACTACTGTTTCTGTTTTATGCTTTGGTTTTTTGGCCATGAGGCATGTGGGATCCTAGCTCCCCAACCAGGGATCGAACCCATACCCTCCCTGCATCAGAAGACCACTAGACCACCAGGGAAGTCCCCAAGAATAAGTTTTTATGTTTTGAGTTGTTATCATTCCAGCTGAAGTTTATGGGCAAAAGCAAGGGTTGGCAAACTTCTGTAAAGGGCAAGAGAGTGAAGACTGGGGCCAATGTGGTCTCTGTTACAACTACTCACCTCTCTCACTATAGCAAGAGAGGCTATATTACAGAAAAAGGAGCTGCAGCTAATAAAACTATATTTACAAAATCAGGCGGGAGGCTGAATTTGACCTGCATCCTAAAAATAGATATGGGTTCCAAAATCAGTTCCATGTATTGTCAGTAGCGGTGGTGAAATTAAAGTCCAATGTGGTAAAGAACAAAACCCCATAGGAATTTGGAATGTTAGGTCCATGAATCAAGGTAAATTAGACATAGTTAAGCAGGAGATGGCAAGAGTGAACATCGAAATCTTACAGATCAGTGAACTAAAATGGATGAGAATGGGCATATTTAATTCAGATGATCATTAAATCTAATACTGTGGGCAAGAATCCCTTAGAAGAGATGGAGTAGCCCTCAAAGTCAGCAAGAGTCTGAAATGCAGTAGTGGGTGCAATCTCCAACATGACAGAATAATCTCAGTTCATTTCCAAGGCAAACCATTCAGCATCACAGTAATCCAAGTCTACGCCCCAACCACTAATTTTGAAGAAGCTGAAGTTTGAAGTTGAACAGTTCTATGAAGACCTATAAGGTCTTCTAGAACTAACATCCTTTCCATCATAGCTAACTGGTATACAAAAGTAGGAAGTTAAGAGATATCTGGAATACAGGCAAGTTTGGCCTTGGAGTACAAAAGGAAGCAGGGTAAAAGGCAACAGAGTTTTGTCAAAAGCACACACTGGTCATAGCAAACACCCTCTTCCAACAACACAAGAGATGTCTCTACACAAGGACAGCATCAAACGGTCAGTACTGAAAATGGACTGATTGTACTCTTTGCAGCAAATGATGGAGAAGCTCTATACAATCAGCAAAAACAAGACTTGGAGCTGACTGCAGCTCAGATCATGAACTTCTTACTGCAAAATTCAGGCTTAAATTGAAGAAACTAGGGAAAACCACTAGGCCATTCAGGTATGACCTAAATAAAATCTCTTATCATCATACAGTGGAGGTGACAAATAGATTCAAGGGATTAGATTTGGTAGATAAGAGTGCCTGAAGAACTATCTACCAGATGGAGGTTAGTAACACTGTACAGGAGGTGGTGACCAAAACCATCACAAAGAAAAAGAAATACAAGGCAAAGTGGTTGTCTGAGGAGGCTTTACAAATAGCAGAGGAAAGAAAAGAAGCAAAAGGTAAGGGAGAAAGGGAAAGATATACCCAACTGAATGCAGAGTTCCAGATATTAGCAAGGAAAGATAAGAAGGCCTTCTTAAATAAACAATGTAAAGAAATAGAGGAAAACAAAAGAACGGGAAATAGTGGAGATGGCTTCAAGAAAACTGGAGATATCAAGGGAACATTTCATGCAAGGATGGGCATGATAAAGGAGAGAAACAGAAAGAACCTAAGAGAAGCAGAAGCGATTAAGAAGTGGCAAGGACACACAGAAGAACTATACAAAAAAGGTCTTAATGACTGGAATAACTGGGATGCTGTGGTCACTCACCTAGAAGCCAAATATGCTGGAGTGTGAAGTTGAGTGCACCTTAGGAAGCATTAATATGAACAAAGCTAGTGGAGATACTAGAATTTCACCTGAGCTATTTAAAATCCTAAAAAATGATGCTGTGAAAATGATGCACTCAATATGTCAGCAAATTTGTAAAATTCATCAGTGGCCACAGGACTGAAAAAGTCAGTTTTCATTCCAATCCCAAAGAAGGGCTATGCCAAAGGTTGTTCAAATTAGTGTACAATTGCACTCATTTCACATGCAGGCAAGGTTATAATCAAAATTCTCAAGCTAGGCTTCAGCAGTACATGAACCAAGAAGTTCTAGATGGACAAGCTCCATTAGAAGAGGCAGAGGAACCAGAGATCAAATTGCCAACATCCGCTGGATCATAAAGAAAGCAAAGGGATTTCAGAAAAACATTTACTTTGGCTTCACATTTAACTAAAATCTTTGACTGTGTGGGTCACAGCAAACTGTGGAAAATTCTTAAAGACACGGGAATAGCAGACCACCTTACCTGTCTCCTGAGAAACCTGTATGCAGGTCAAGAAGCAACAGCTAGAACCAGACATGAACAACAGACTGGTTCCAAATTGGGAAAAGGAGTACAACAAGGATGTATATTGTCACCCTGCTTATTTAACTTATATGCAAAGTACATCATGAGAAATGATGGGTTGGATGAATCACAAGCTAGTCAAGAGTGCCAGGAGAAATATCAACAACCTCAGATATGCAGATGATACCACCCTTATGGTACAAAGCAAACTGGAACTAAAGAGATTCTTGATGAAATTGAAAGAGGAGAGTAAAAAAGCTGGCTTGAAACTCAACATTCAAAAAACTAAGCTCAGGGCATCGGGTCTCAACACTCTGTGGCAAACAGGTGGGAAAAATGGAAACTGACATATTTTATTTTCTTGGGTCCAAAATCAATGCAGCCATAAATTAAAAGACTCTTGCTCCTTAGAAGGAAAGCTATGAAAAACTTAGTGTATTAAAAAGCAGAGACATCACTTTGTTGACAAAGGTGCATAGAGTCAAAGTTATGGTTTTTCTAGTAGTCATGTTTGGATGTGAGATTTGGACCATAAAGAAGGCTGCACACCGATGAACTGATGCTTTCAAACTGTGGTGCTCAAGAAGACTCTTGAGAATCCCTTGGATTGCAATGAGATCAACCCAGTCAATCCTAAAGGAAATCAACCCTGAATACCTATTGGAAGGACTGATGCTGAAGCTCCAATACTTTGGCCACCTGATATAAAGAGCTGACTCACTGGAAAAGACCCTGATGCTGGGAAAGAGTGAGGGCAGGAGAAGAAGGGGGCAACAGAGGATGAGAAGATTGGATGGCTTTATCAACTCAACAGACATGAGTTGAACAAACTCCAGGAGACAGTGAAGGACAGTGATACCTGGCGTGCTGCAGTCCATGGGGTTGCAAAGAGTCTGACACAACTGAGCAACAACAGAAAGAAACAGCCGACTAATATAATCTGCCTCTAGTCACATGGTTTTTTCCATCCCATCTCCCTGTCTCCCTCCACCTAAGGTAAACAATATTCTGAATCCCATTCATCATTCCCTTGGTTTTCTTCTTATATAATTTGCTAGATCTATTTTTGTCCTAAGTATATAACATTATTAATTTGTGACAAAACACATTTTATCCGATCTTTTGAGAATTACTTTCTTTATTTAATGTTCTATTGCTAAAATTCATCCACATGGTGGCATACGGTAGTTCATTTGTTTTGATCCCTCCATTGATTTTTCAATTTGTGCACATACCAGTTTATACATTCATTTTTCTTCAGATACAAACACTTAAAGACTATTCCCAAGTTTTGTCACTGCCCACAGTGCTACTATGAATATCCTCTTTCAAGACTTTTGCTGTCAGTGAGAATGGGTATACACAAGCAGCAAAACTGCTAGATAATGGGCTACATTTATGTTCAATTTTAGGAAATAATATCAAACTGTTTGCCAAAGTGATTCCACCAATTTAACCTTACTAGCAACAATAAGAAAGCCTATGTATTCACATCTTCTCCTATATTTAATGTTTTAAGACTTTTTAATTTGTTGCCAATTGAATGAATATAAAATAATCTCACTATAGCCTTGAAAACTATTTCTCTGAATACTCATGAAGTTGAACATCTCTTCATAGGCCTTGAGTATTTTCACTGAAATGCTGCACATGTTTTTTGCAGATTTTTCTTTTGGGCTGTTTTGCCTTTTTAAACTGATTGTAGGAGCTCTGATATATTCTGTATTCTAATCTCTTGTTGCCTGTATGTTTCACATAGTCCTTTAATGTACTCAAATTTATCAATCTTTTATTTGTAAGTCAAAACTTTTTGAGTCTTTTAAGAAATCATTCCCTGCTGCAGTGCTGAAAGATATTTACCTATATTATAAGTTTTGCTTTTGCCCTTTAGGAACTAAATTCATTTAGAGTTAATTATTTGTAACTGATATGATGCCATGATGAAATTCTATTCTACCCATAAGGACAAGCACTTTTCCCCCAGCCCTATATACTGAACAAAACCAAACAAAATTGTCCTTGTTTTACAAATGTAGTCTTTACAGGACCTGAAGTGTGGCTCCAAAAATAATCCAAAGCCCACCAATCCTCTTACTAAACCTTCCCTGTTTATCTTAAGAGGCTTGTAAGTATTAAGCAGGGGAATTCTCAGGTGGTGTGAGTGGTAAAGAATATCCAATGCAGGAAACACAGGTTCAATCCTTGGGTCAGGAAGATCCCCCGGAGGAGGAAATGGAAAGTCTCTCCAGTATTCTTGCCAGGAAAACCCTATGGACAGAGGAGCCTGGCAGGCTACATACAGTCCATGGCATTGCAGAGACACGACTGAGCACACACACATATATGAACAGTTCTCCTCCTCTTTTTCCAACCAATTGGGCATGCATCCTCTGCCATTTGTTGAAGTTTATAGTTTACTCACTTCATCCCTGCTCCAGGTTCTCCGCCTTGTAATTGTTAAGTGATCAGGAGGCTCTGCTGGTTGAGGTCTTGGGTCACTAGACCGACAGTTGTTTCCTTCTGGTGTTTTAGAATGAACTAATGGAGGGATCTTTCGGAAGTTGAGGCTTTCATCAAAAACACGATCAACTAACTAACAGGACAAAAGCAAATCCTCATGAGCACAGAGTAATTTGGAAAAACACAGATACTGGCATTATAGTTTTTATAGTTAGAAGTTATTCCATTCTCAGGTAGTAACAGAAGCATGATATCTTCAATAAACCAATTACTCTTTCTTTTTATAAGCACTTCAAAGGTGTCCATTTTATAAAATAGATGTTCATCTACATAGATTTTATTTTCAAAATCCAAAATAAATATAATAACTATGTTAAATTTGATTCTTCCATGGATAAAGTTTCCCCCAACGGAAAACATAGATGGTAAATAGGAAAAGCTGAGCCATGTAGATGGACAAGGAGTTCATTTTACTCACATTGCCTTACCAATGTAAAATTATGTTTCTTTTTCTTTTAGTTTCCTATCTTGTTTTTTCCTTTTTTCCTCCCCAAATCCAGGTGCCAAATTTCTTCAGATACATAAATTACAAATTATAATTAAGTTTACAAAAGAAAAAAAATTGTTTTAATTCACAAAGTATTTTGATCTTAGATAAACTTTTAGCAGTAATGCTACAGAAATGACATATTTCAGTACAAGTGATATACTGCCATCTACAGTGCAAATTATGCACATATGGTACAAAGTAACTCAGGTTTACTGAAGAAGGAATAAACTCTAGTACAGTAATAAGAAATGAAGTCAAAAGGAAAAAATGGAATTCTACTTAATGAAATGTTTGATAAATTTTACTGAGTCTGAGTGAATGTACAATCAAGTTAGGTATAATTTAGTTAGACAGCTGAGAAAATAATATCTTCATCATTCAAAATGTACCAGGAAGAATTGTGTATGTCTTGCCACCAAGAAGATCCTTTTGTTTTTCACCAATAAGGATGATTTTTTATACACATTTACAATTGATCAGTGTGGTAACAAAACTACACAGACTGATGAAACATTATTTACCAAATTAGAGAACACATAAAGGGGGAAAAAACAACAAAATTATGATCATTAAAGAATAAGATTATAAATGTGACAAAAAGCAACCGAAGAAAATTTTAGTAGAAGAGTTTACCAGAATTAAATGTGTTAAAAAGGCTACCCATTTTTGGCTACTATTGAGAACATTACTTTATAAAATTAAGGAAGTGAAATGAATCATCAGTATTAGGGACTGGCACATCTTTGCTGTAACGGGTCAAATGATAAACATTTTAGGCTGTGCAGTCTTACAGTCTCTGTTCAACTACTCAATTCTGACATTGTAGCATAAAACAGTCAGAGGATAATTAAACAAGTCAGTGTGGCTTTGTCCTAATAAAACTGTAACTCATTCTTTCAAAGTGTCTGTCTTTTTTTGTATCTCTGCACCAAATCAAGAAACCCAACATGGCCAGAATACCATTATTTTTATATTAGATTTTAAAGGCTAACTTCTGGAGCCATCTGTGTTTGTGGTGTCCCCTGGAGGGGGAGAACAGGGGACTCTGGTTTGGCAGGGCAATAGTCTGATATGCTAACTTACACTGCACAGTTCACAAGAATGTTTTAAAACTGAATACATATATTTGAGTGAGAGTGTATATGTATGTGTATTTCAATTTTTGAAGAATCTTTGTGAATAAATATATATATATATTCATCAACAGAATTATTTAAAGTAGTGAAAACTATAGACTTTTTCTTGCTACTTGAGATAACTTCTAGTTAAGAATCTATGTAAGATTTATAGAAACTGTATACAATGATTTATTATTTATACAATTATTTACCAAATTTGGATGTGCTTTTTAGCTGTCATTTATTTTCATATTTTACAAAGTGTTTATTTTGAATAATTTTACAGCTTCATGCTAATAGTAGACCAAATGTTAGCCTTTACTAGTTTTGTTATAAGAACATAAAAGAAATTTGTTAAAGCAAAGTTGGAAAATGCAGAGCTTCATGCAAATAGGAAGGATGGATGTAACCAAAAAAAACTAAGCAAAAAGCTAAAAGCAAAAGAAATAAAGAAAAGAAAGAACCTTATGCATCTCTCCATGAAGATCTCCTACCTCTTCTCTAGTGTCTATGGCAGAGCCGGGGGTGGTGGCAGCAGTGCTTACTGTGGTACTAGGGGCAGTGCCTGAGGAGGTCACTGAATCTATCTCTCCTGCTACATCGTTGATTTCCCGAGCAATGAGAGCGAGATCTTGGCTGATCCTGGCGATAATTTTAGAAAAGAAGTTTAATTCTTTCACATAACAGGTCTACAAACAATCATTTCGATAGAATCAGTTTTATAAGTTGTATATTTAAAGATTTGTCCTCAAAACTTCAGATTTTCTATGTGTGCCATTAACTATTTTGATATTGGAAGAATTAAAATGTTAATTCCAATATGTATCAAACTAAACCACACATAATTTACAAGTTGTCACTTAAAAATAGATGAGTTAAGTGCCTGAAGTACTGATATGTGTCTTTTAAAAACACAGTTAATGGTAATTACTACATTAATATATTACAGCAGTTTTTAAACTTGGGCATGGTAAACAATTCAAAGGCCTGTGAACCTGAATGAGAAAAGCAATTACAGCTTTATTTTCACTAACCTTCTAAATGAAACTTAGCATTTCTTTCAATTACAAAGATAAGCAACAAACAACAGTGGTATTAGCAGTACTGGTGATTTTTGTCAGCAAAACTAATCACATTATAGTTTCTATGAGTATATCAAAACATTTAGTCATCACTACTACTTCAAAACTACTTCATTACACCCACAGCAATAACGTTCCATTTACTATGTTAACGAAGAATTATATACTACTATATCATTTTAAAAATATTTTAAAAACTGTATTTCAATATAATTGTTTCTAATGTTTATACATTTCTGAGAGAAGCTCCCTAAGCTCCTCCAGATGGCCCAAGGGGTGTATGGTACCAAAGAAGTGAGGAGCTCTGACAGAGCATAGCATGTTATGTTATTTACCATACTTCACAGTACATCACATGTCATTTGAGGGTCACAAGGTAGTAGAAGAACTTACCTAACTGACTGATTATGAAGAAAGATGTGTTTTCAGAGAAAATTAGTGGCTTGCTCATGACCACACAACTTAAAAGTAGCTGACACAGGGCCAGATTCCATGTTTTGAGATCATGTCCCTAAAGTCACTTATTTGTATTTTCAGATACATGGACTGAAGAACTAAGTAACTGTTATCAGTGATAACTGAACATTTTCTAAGTTATGCAGCCACTGCATAGGATCTCAATTTGGTTACCTGCACAGTAACCCAAAGCTTTGGAATGACAGAATATTTGTAAAATACCCATATAAGCTTTCCAACTCTAAAATCCAAAGCGCAAAGTAACAACTTTTTAACTTATGCAAAATGTAAGCTTGAAAGGCTTTCATGGAATTGAGTAATTGCATAGAAACTTAACTACAGATTTAAAAAGAGAAGCTAACTTGAAGCTTATGGCCCAACAGAAGCAATATACGGTCAATTTCTTTTTATTTACCAGTAAATACTTAATGATCTGGTCACTGTGCTAGGTCCTAAGGGCTGCAATGGTGAAGAAGCAGAAACTATCACAACACTGTAAATAGGCTGTTTCAGTTCAGTCGTTCAGTCATGTCCGACTCTTTGTGACCAATGAACTGCAGCACGCCAGGCTTCTCTGTCCGTCACCCACTCCCAGAGTTTATCTAACTCATGTCCATCAAGTCGGTGATGCCATCCAACCGTCTTATGCTCTGTCATCCCCTTCTTTTCCCACCTTCAATCTTTCCCAGCATCAGGGTCTTTCCCAGTGAGTAAGTTCTTCGCATGAGGTGGCCAAAGTATTGGAGTTTCAGCCTCAGCATCAGTTCTTCCAATGAATATTCAGAACTGATTTCCTTTAGGATTGACTGTTTGGATCTCCTTTCAGTTGAAGGGACTCTCAAGAGCCTTCTTCAACACTACAGCTAAAAAGCACTAAATCTTCGGTGCTCAGCTTTCTTTATAGTTGAACTCTCACATCCATACATGACTAATGAAGACACCATAGCTTTGACTAGACGGACCTTTGTTGGCAAAGTAATGGCTCTGCTTTTTAATATGCTGTCTAGGTTGGTAATAGCTTTCCTTCCAAGGAGCAAATCTTTCGATTTCATGGCTGCGGGTCACCATCTGCAGTGATTTTGAAGCCCAAGAAAATAAAGTCTCTCACTGCTTCCAGTGTTTCCCCATCTATTTGCCATGAAGGGATGGGACTGGATGCCATGATCATCATTTTCTGAATGTTGAGTTTTAAGCCAACTTTTTTACTCTCCTCTTTCACTTTCATCAAGAATCTCTTTAGTTCCTCTTTGCTTTCTGTCATAAGGGTGGGGTCATCTACATATCTGAGGTTATTGCTATTTCCCCTAGCAATCTTGATTCCAACTTGGGCTTCATCCAGCCCAGCATTTCACATGATGTACTCTGCATATAAGTTAAATAAGCAGGGTGACAATATACAGCCTTCATGTACTCCTTTCCCGATTTGGAACCAGTCTGTTGTTTCATGTCCAGTTCTAACTGTTGCTTCTTGATGTGCACACAGATTTCTCAGTAGGTAGGTCAGGTAGTCTGATATTCCCATCTCTTGAAGAATTTTCCAGTTTGTTGTGATCCACACAGTCAAAGGCTTTGGCATAGTCAATAAAGCAGAAGTAGAGGTTTTTCTGCAATTCTCTTGCTTTTTCTGTGATCCAATGGATGTTGGCAATTTGATCTTTGGTTTCTCTGCCTTTCATAAATTCAGCTTGAACATCTGGAAGTTCATGATTCACATACAGTTGAAGCCTGGCTTGGAGAATTTTGAGCATTACTTTGCTAGCATGTGAGATGAGTACAATTGTGCGGTAGTTTGAGCATTCTTTGGCTTTGCCTTTCTTTGGGATTGGAACGAAAATGGATGTTTTCCAGTCCTGTGGCCACTGCTGAGTTTTTGCAATTTGCTGGCATATTGAGTGCAGCACTTTCACAGCATCATCTTTCAGGATTTGAAATAGCTCAACTGGAATTCCATCGCCTCCACTAGCTTTGTGTGTAGTGATGCTTCCTAAGGCCCACTTGACTTCACATTTCAGGATGTCTGGCTCTACGTAAGTGATCACACCATCATGGTTATCTGGGTCTTGAAGATCTTTTTTGTACAATTCTTCTCTGTATTCTTGCCACCTCTTCTTAATATCTTCTGCTTCTGTTAGGTCCTACTATTTCTGTCCTTTATTGTGCCCATCTTGGCATGAAATGTTCCCTTGGTATCTCTAATTTTCTTGAAGAGATATCTAGTCTTTCCCATTCTGTTGTTTTCCTCTATTTCTGTGCACTGATCACTGAGGAAGGCTTTTTTTAATCTCTCCTTGTTATTCTTTGGAACTCTGCATTCAAATGGGTATATCTTTCCTTTTCTCCTTTGCCTTTTGCTCTTCTTCTTTTCTCAGCTATTTGTAAGGCCTCCTCAGACAACCATTTTGCCTTTTTGCATTTCTTTTTCTTGGGAATGGTCTTGATCAATGCCTCCTGCACAATGTCATAAACCTCTGTCCACAGTTCGTCAGCCATTCTGTCTATCAGATCTAATCCCTTGAATCTATTTGTCACTTCCACTATATAATCATAAGGGATTTGATTTAGGTCATACCTGAATGGTCTAGTGGTTTCCCCTACTTGCTTCAATTTAAGTCTGAATTTGGCAATAAGGAGTTCATGATCTGAGCCACAGTCAGCTCCTGGTCTTGTTGTTGCTGACTGTATAAAGCTTCTCCATCTTTGGCTGCAAAGAATATAATCAATCTGATTTCGGTGTTGACCATCTGGTGATGTCCATGTGTAGAGTCTTCTCTTGTGTTGTTGGAAGAGGGTGTTTGCTGTGACCAGTGCGTTCTCTTGACAGAACTCTGTTAGCCTTTGCCCTGCTTCATTCTGTACTCCAAGGCCAAGTTTGCCTGTTACTCCAGGTATCTCCTGACTTCCTACTTTTGTAATGTTTCATTACATTGCTTTATATATTATAAGGGCTTCCCCAGTGGCTCAGGGGTAAAGAATCCACCTGCCATGCTGGAGACATGCATTCAATCCCTGGGTAGGGAAGATTCCCTGGAGCAGGGCATGGCATGGCAACCCGCTCCAGTATTCTTGCTTGGAAAATCCCATGGACAGAGGAGCCTGGCAGGCTAGAGACCATAGGCTGTATGGACAGGCTTCAGTTGTGTCTGCAAAGAGTCAGACATGACTGAAAAAACTAAGCATGAATATACTATAAGGAAACCCATATCACTTAATTCTGGCCACTAAATTAAATTGGCTCTTACCAAAAATATAAAAAAACTTCTAATAAAATGTATTACAATTACAATTTGGTTTTTTGCATTAAGATTACCATGCATTTGTAATTTTAATCATAAATATTGAGACTTGAAAAATATAAATCATTGTATTTTAAAATATTAAAAAATACACTTATAGGTATTCTTATTTGAATTTCACTAATAAAAATACCATATGTAAAAGATTCAGTAATAAAGCCTCTTTCCTCTTGACCGGATGTGTCATTTTAACATTAAAAATAGACTACTTATATATCAGCATTATTATTATTAGGAAAAAAGAATGTTTTAAAACAAAGTTTGAAATGAAATCTGAATGAGAAACTTTGGTTGAGATTCTTAGGTTTCCTATTAGTATAGGGTAAGCCTTAATAAAATATTTTACAAATTGTAAGAATATAACATTGATTCTAAAACTCCAGTTATATCTGGAGTCTCATAAATTTAAATTATCAAATATACAGAAAACCAAATGCTCACAATTAAGTTATAAACAAAATCATGTTTGAGTATATACACACACCACTGTTTTCTCTGCACTCCACTTAAATATAACTAACATTTGATAGCTTACTATATGTCAAGCACTAGGTTATGCACATGCCTTGGTTTCTCAACTCTCTCAAGTTGACACTATTGTTATGTCCATTTTACACATAAAACTAGAGCACAGTAGTTAACTTGTCTAGGGTCTTACAGACCACATGGCAGAGTTGGGTTTGAATTGAGAAGGTCTGATCCCAGAGTCCATGATTTTGATCATTCAGCTATACTGAATCCTTATAATTTAGGTTATCCCTCAGAGTTCAATAATATTCTCAGTTCACTCACCACTTCCTGGCAATGTCTGTGACCACAGTTTCAACTATTTTCTTTTTGTCTAACTTCCAAAACGATGATTCTAGCCCTCATGAGCTTCCTGTGCTGCAGAGCTATATACTCTTTCACATGTCTGTTCCAAAAGTGCCTGAAGTCAGCATGCCCAAAACAGAGCTTATCTTCCTTTTTGTTTCTGAGGACATCCATTTCTAAGTCACCTTTACGGGTCACTCATGCTAAAAACTACATTCTGCTCATAGGAGCTCTTAACAATATTCATTTGAACAACCATGGAGTTATTCTGGCAATTGTCAAATGCTGTCAAATGTTACATGTCCATATCTCCATTTATACCATCACTATCTTAACTTAGGCCTTCAATGCCTTGCACATTAACTTCTAGAATAGATCACTAGTTTATCTATAGGTTCTCTTCTCTCTCAAACAATTCTACAAATTGCCCTTAAGAGTAACCTTCTTTTAATATAGATCTTATCATCCTTTTCAAAAATCTTAAACAGAAGTCTTTTTTTTTTCCCATTTATTTTTATTAGTTGGAGGCTAACTTACTTTACAATATTGTAGTGGTTTTTGCCATACATTGACATGAATCAGCCATGGATTTACATGTGTTCCCCATCCTGATCCCCCCTCCCGCCTCCCTCCCTGTCCCATCCCTCTGGGTCTTCCCAGTGCACCAGCCCTGAGCACTTGTCTCATGCATCTAACCGGGGCTGGTGATCTGTTTCACCCTTGAATAGTATACTTGTTTCAATGCTATAAACATAAGTCTTATATATAAAATAATATGTATGCTTCTCAGATGGCACTCAATGTCTCCTATTATTGAGCTGGCTTAGGATTATCTTCAATTTGGTCATCTATTAACTATATACCTTTATATCTTAGACTCGGACAAACTTCACCCACTCCTTTTTTTTTTTCATGCTATTTCTTTTCTCTTTTCAACCTCCAGTAAATTCCTGTTGCAGACACCCTTTTAAAAATAATTAATTAATTAATTAATTTGGCTGTGTCAGGCCTTAATTACGGCAAGCAGGTTCTTCCAGTTGCAGTGTGTGGGATCTAGTTCCCTGACCAAGGGTCAAACCCAGGCTCCCTACATTGGAAGCATGGAGTCCTAGCCACTGGACTACCAGGGAAGTTCAAACTTCACCCTTTCTACAACCTCTTCTACCACTCTGCCTGATATCACCTCATCAACACCTTTGCTTCTTTCCTCTGACTCTGAACTCTCTGGGGACACTCATGTCTAAGTCATCTTTACACTTCACTCAGGCTAAATACTACATTCTACTCATAGAAGTTGCTTAGGAATTCTTTGTTGAGTGGATGGGAATTACATGTGGATGGGGATTATACAACACATAAAAAAAAATTTATGCAAACATAAACTTGATCCAAAACAAAACTGCAGAGGTGTAAAGGTGCTGGTTTAGTAATACAGCTCTAAAATATAAGCAAAAAGAGTATGAAAAAGCATAAAACATTTTGTAATCAATTAAAATCACTATTATGCTTTTCAAATTTCTTAAGTGAAAGTGGTAGCCAATTTACAGAAATAAAACATGTGTTTCTCATATTCTATTTAGTTTAGTTATTGAAAATAAATTTCTGCACATTAAGCAAACGTCAGTATTCTATAGGAACATTAAACATTAACATTAACTTTCTTTCCTTCCTATACTTCCTATCTTCCCCTCTTACTTTTTTTAATATCTTAAAAAACAAAAATAAAAATACTTTCTCTTCCTGTGAGATGTATGGCTGGAAAATATACCTTGAAAAATTAAATCCCAACAGCAAGTTTTATTAACATAATGCTACTAACAAACTGGAGGAAAAAGGCATAGAATCATTAGGTGTTAAATAGGCTAGCCTTAGAGTACTACTATAGATAATAAAATATATACAGACAAGGGTAATAAAATACACATACTAACAAAATAAAACCAAGTGAAAATATAACAGACAGTTCTTAAGTCACTTTCCCCTTTGTATCATAGTTCTTTTCTGTTTAGGGACAGGGAAGTGGATTTGGCCCAGAAGGTGTTCAGTGATCTAGTTTAGGGTAAAGAGTTTAAGAGACAAAGCCTCCTAAGAAAAAGCAGAACATTCTAGTTCCCTCGGGTACCCCTTGTGTTCATGTGGTGAGAGTTGTCCATGGGGAGGAAAATAAAATGAGACAAGAGCAAGGCCTGTTGTTGCCAGCTGTGCCCACAAGAAAAAAAAATATAGTATCAAGATTCTCATTGCAGTTTTGTGGGCCCATAATAATGCATGGAGTGGCTTCCCAGGTGACGCTAGTGGTAAAGAATCTGCCTGCCAATGCAGGACACGTACGAGATGCAGGTTTGATCCCTAGGTTGGGAAGGTCCCCTGGAGGAGGGGATGGGGCAACACACTCCAGTATTCTTGCCTGGAGAATCCCAGGGACAGAAGAGCCTGGTCGGTTACAGTCCATGGGGTTGCACAGAGTCGGACACGACTGAAGCAAGTTAGCACAATGCACAATAATGCATGGATCCCAAAGCACATACATGCCCATACTCTAATCAGAACTGGTTTACAATGCTTCAACAATTATTGTCGTTTACATGGCCAAAAAGTAATGTTTAAGCAACACAATGACATTAGAAGGGCATGTTCTGCAAAAACTAAAAGCAACCACAAGTGAGTAGGCACTAAAGAAAACAAAAAAAAAAAACTAAACATTAAACTAATAATCCAGGAAAAAAAGAAACAATTCACAGAAGTCCATAAAGAAAAAAATGATAAACATCATAAAGTCATCATAAAAAATTTTAAAGGAATTTATGAATTATTATATATAATTTCTGTAATAAATGTTGTCAAGTATAAGAAAATTAGGACCTCAAGCTAAAGGCAGAAATAATTTTAGCATGTACACAGTGAAAATGTTTAGGTAACATGTAACAGTAAAATTTAATACCTTACAAACTTAACAAAAAACCCTTGACTACTATAGCATATTTGTGAATAGAGCCTCTACTGGATGGTCAACTGCAATGTTAGGGGTTAAAAATCACATCTGCAGCATGAATTTTACTTTTAATTATGTAATCTTAAGGTTATTATAAAACATATTTAATATTCAAAACAATATTCTCATTTAATTATTAAAGGATTGTACTAACTCAATCTAATGAACTCATAAAAGTGCAAGTAATAATCTGCCTACTCTGATTCTCCCCAGAGAACGTTAGCAACATCTCTAACAAGTACACCTCTTTGGAAGGTAAAGTAATAAAGTATCTGCGCAATTCTCAATTATGTAGAGCTGATACTGACTACCTTTCAAAATTATATTAATTCATCAGCGTCTCTACTGGAAATAAGAAAGAGGGGTTTACCAAAATAAATTTTTTAATATGTAAGTAGCACTTGCATTAAAAAAAAAAGGATAATGAGTAACACTATCAACAAAACTAACATTCTTAGTTCTCTGTGGATTTCATTTCTTGGTACAAACAGTAAAAGCTAAACTTGTTATCAAGTTGAAACAGGAACAAATAATTTCAACTCTTGGAGATAACGGATTAAAACCAACCTGGCTATTTCTTCTCGATGGGCAGTCCAATCTCGGATGTAGTCTTCCTGTTCTTTTATCCGGTGTTTGAATGAAGAACTAGTAGGCATTGCTGACCCAGAGCTCTGCAATCGAGTCGTTTTCAGGGCTGGAGAAGTACGTAGACGGGTATGTTTAGGGGAATTACGGTTTGATCCAAATTCATCTTCTGAGGTGGAAGCATAATCAGTAGGAAAGCGCCTCCATCTTGAATTTACTAAATTAGTTTAATTATTAAAAAAAGAATTATTATGTTATCTTTTAAAAGAGAGAAAATAAAAATCATGATTTCAAAAACACCATGAGACCACACACAGCACAATTTTCAAAAACTGACATACACATAGTTTACAAAACCATTAAGTCTACTACTCCTTAAGATAGAAACATCATACTTTGGTGAATTAAAAACAATGAAGAATTAAGAACAATAGAAAGATCACATTTTCTGTAGCATGGTGAGTAAACAAACATTCAGATGAACAGTCGACTAATGACAAACAACTAAGCAAGCTCTATTCATAAATGTTTAACTCAGGTACTATTTAATTGCAAATATTTCTCATTTAAGTGATGTTATGGATTTTTTCTTTTTTAATGACAGCAACAACAACAACAAAAAAATAAAATAAGGGAAAAGATTTCCTCATGCCACATGGACTTTTCAACATGGAGATGGTAAAAACCCTCTTTTCCCAACAAACAAATATGCATAATTCCTGCTGTGGAAATTATGCCTTTATGGCAGAAAAAAAAACATTACCTCTGTCATTCAACATCCTGTTATGCTATGATTGGAAAAAATCTTTTTACACGGTAAAAACACAACAAAGCATCTTCAGTACAACTCTGCTGCTTTGACATTGAAAGCATACAGGTGAAAATAGACAATGGCAATAAAACCTACAAGGAGTGAAAACCTACAAAGGTATTCTCACAACCATTAACATTTATGGCACAGGAGATACTGACAATAGTCACATTAAAGAAAGTGACAATCACTTTCTTATTTAAGGTTAGTAAAGATTTAAAAAATGGTTTTGTGGACACATTTGAAAATTAGAAGACAAATTAATGCAGACAGGTCACTACTACTGTTAATATAATAATTAAACATGCAAATAAAGTGTGAAACATAAAGAGGTAAAAATAGGGAAAAAACGGCTAATCTCTGGAAAACTTCACAGGGCAGGAATTATGCCTGCTTAATCCACTAACATGTTCCTAGTGTTTAGCAGTGTCTGGCTAACAAATGTTTAATAAATATGTTTGAATAAATAAATTAATTCCTAGATACTGACCATTTCCTTTCCTCAAAATAGGAAAACCTAGTAAAAAAGCATGAGACTTTTTGGTGGCTAAAGTGCTAAAACCTTAGCTTCTGTTGTTAAGTTCCAACTGCTGTTAATATTAAGAGCTTTCTTTATCTTTCTCGTATAAAACAGAAGCTGATTCTAGGCTGTGTACATTGGTGAAGTCTAGAATTCCTTTATCCTACTTCACTTGAATTTTATGCCTTTCCTGTCTTTTCTTTCATAAACTTCATTTCTGCTTAAAGCTCTGTAAGGCTGAGTTGGCACTCAAATAAGATTGATATTTGTTCCCAGAACTGCTTTAAGAACAGAGAAATCTGTAATCAGGACTATATCATAAATCAGTGCCTACCCATTTGTCTAGATTTAAACTCTTATTTGAGAAAATGAAGATAGGCAAAACTTCATGACTTTCTGTAAAAGTGAACATGAACATATATATGGAACTCCAGGTAATTAATCAGGTTTTTTTTGAAGGGGTTATTGAAAATAATTTCTGATTTTAACATTAGAAGATAATTCATTAGCACAAATAATACTTTTACCATGGTGGAAATTTACTAATTTCTAGACATTTGAACTGACCCTGAGACTTGAAAACAGCTTTAGGAAAAATTAAGGAAGAAGAGTAAATAAGTTTGTTTTTTTTTTAAAAAAGAAACACAGCAAGGCAATTAGCTATATAGCAAACAAATCTGTACTTTTTAATAAAGACATTTCATTAAATGCTGAATGTTTTTTATTTTGCTACCCTAGAATATGATTCATAAAAGGAAATTCATAAATAAAAAAGATCTTTTGTTAGATTAAAGTTTCTGACTTTTTATTTGAAAACTATGTAACCATACCTATAACTGAAAATTGGAGAGGACAAAACCAGTAACAAAGAGTTTTAATAAACTGCAGAAGGTATGAAAACAGGTATTATAGAGTTCAGGTTGTTAATACGGAGGTAATTTAGAGAGAATGGCATCAATAACTGATAGATATTTTGAGTGGCAGAGCACATGAAAGCAGAATGAGAAAGTGAGAAACAAGGGCTAAAAGTCGGGTGACATAAGTTATCAGGTGACAATATAGAAGCTGAGCCCCGTTAGAATTTAAATTGTGCAATCTAAGTCTCCAGGTCAGAAAATCATTACCTTTTGGAGAAAAGAATAAAAGAAAAACTTCTTTTTCAAATGAAATTCATAAACTTCCCACCTATTTTTTATAAGTCTACCTAGAACCCAGCAAGAATACTGAAGTTTCTAAGAATAACTTTTAAAAGAGGAGAAGCAATATGGGAGCCAGGTGGGAGGTACAAACTACTGGGTGTAAGATGGGGGAGACAGCCAATACTTTGGAATAACTGTAAATAAAAAGTAACCTTTAAAACTGCATAAAAAATGAAAAAATAATAAAAGGAAGGCGAGAAGGAAAATATAAAGTATAGGACACAGCAGAAAATAAAAACATGATTAGTAAGTCTTCAAATAACTAAAGGTTATCTCTACCAATGGAAAGCATATCATACATGGTGTGCTATGAAGCAAAGCTTAAGTTAACCTCTGAACAAAAAATGAGACGTGAAATGATGACTGCTGGTGAAAAAGGGACCGTGAAAGGGAGTTAAAGCCAGGACCTCTAACCTATTCTTTGTCGAAGAAGTTCTCTCAATACCTTTGCTTTCTTAATCTTTGCTTCCAAACTAAAGCAGCAGTATATTTTATCTGAAGAAAAATCCCTATAATCTAACTAGCTTTTGTAGAGGAAACTTTAAGTAAAAATGTTTTTAACTTTCCCCAGTGCCTACTTATTTTATAGAATTTTAGAATAAAATGACTTTGGACGTGAGCTAGTTTAAATTCTTCAATCTATAGATAAAAATTGGGCCTAGAAAGGTCCTGTGACTTGCTTAAATCAAAGTTTAAGCCAGGTCTACTGACTCTCAGAGTGCAAAACTCATTCCAAGTGCTTTAAAATTAAATATTTTATTTTAAAAAATTTCAAGTTAGACTAATTATAAAAAAAAGACATCCTAGAATTCTCATAGAATGATTGTTTTATGATTTTTACAGGGATGAAATTTTTTTTTTTACTTTCTTCTTGAATTTTACCCTGCTTAGATAAAATTATTTAGAGAATCAAATGTAACTTTATATTATTAGGCTCATTTGATATACTGATACTAATAAGGCATTTCAGATAAATGCTTAAATTGAAAATCTGTGTTGAAGGTATTTAAAATGCCAATCTCTAAGAAGCTTCTTGGGTTGATGAAGTGCTGGACAGCACATATAATAAATGCGAAAACTGTGTTGAAGGTATCTGAAATGCCAATCTCTAAGAAGCTTACTGGGGTGATGAAGTGCTGGACAGCACATATAATAAAATGAGAAAAAGTTCTAAGATGGGCTTAATTATTTTGTAGCTAACCTGAAAATTACTCTAGCTATGTTAGTTAAACAGACTCATTTTAGCTATAAAATTATACAACACTCCCTCTTGTGGAAGTAATAAGCTACTACATTCATCAAGAATATATATTATTCATGATGTATAAAAAATTTAAAAGGGGAAAAAGAGTTATTAGGATCATTTATCTGTGAGTGGTTTGATTTCTTTTACTCTTAACTAAAACTTTGCCGACATCAAAACCCATCATTATCTACAGATGTAACAAATAAATTTCAGAAGACAAACATTACATTTTTATACCTAAATAAAAATATTTTTGTGGGAAATTAAGCCACAAACACGTCTAATATGTATGAGCATGTAACAAAAAGATCATGGTATTCTGTACTGGTCTTTGACTTGAGAAGAAATAACTCAATCCATGCATGTCCAAGAGTTAACATCATCATCTATAAATTTTGAGGATTACAATAAAAATGGGAAAACAGTCTAAAAAAATTTTAAGGATGTTAACATGATTTTTGAAAATTTTAGAATGTATACTTAAAACATAATGAAAACTAAATGCCTTACTTTGATAATTCAGGGTGAAAGTGAAAATCAGTCACACAGTTGTGTCCGACTATTTGCAGTCCCATGGACTGCAGCCTGCCCAACTCCTCTGTCCATGAAATTCTCCAGTCAATAATACTGGGGTGGGTTGCCGTTTCCTTCTCCAGTGGATCTTCCTGACCCAGGGATCAATACAGGTCTTCTGTACTGCAGGCAGATTCTCTACCTACTGAGCCACTGGGGAAGCCTTACTTTGGTAATTCAGGGTACTTAGTTTTAAATACATCGGATTAAAATAAAGCTGGATATTTTAACATAACTTTATATTGAAGGATCATTGAAAAAATTTTTGAAGTGTTGGGGAGGGGGTGGACTAAACTCCTAAAAGCATACTACATCAGAATTAAAGAAACACAGAAGAAATCTTACTCTTAATTTTGCCAAATAATGACACTTCCATTTTATTTTTATCATATTCATTTCTTGGAAAAGCTTTTTCTAGCACAGGCTAAAATATATAATTTGAAGCTTTACAGAATTATTTTTATGTATTCGTTTGCATAATTTCACAGGTTCCAGGGTCAGGCATTTTTAAGATTTTTAATAGTTTATAGTGTGCTTAGCAACACTGACAAGGATGGTTTCACATTCTTTTAAATATTTCCAAAGCTAGGAATTTTTATCTCCTTTCTCCATTTAAGATTTATAATTTTAGTAAGTAGAAGTGTTGTAATACTATTTACCACATGTGACTATTTTAGTATGTTACCACTGACTGAAAGGTCCAGGTCATTGTCCTAGATAGGATATAAAACTGGAAATGGGCATCTTAAAAGAATCTGAATATATAATCCTGGACCACAATGTGGCTTTAGGCTCAAAAAGGTGGGAGAGAGAACATGGACTTGGTAAAACATCATAATTACAAAGATTATAGTGAATAATACCAAAATATTTATATTGTCTATTGGTTATATATGTATACTTCTGATAATAATCCAATAGTCTAGCTGTCCTCTGGAAGTCTGCACGTAAGTGGAGTCTGTTTCTCAGCGCTAGACTGACTGTGGTAGAAAATGCAATAGGCTGGGAGTTAAATGCCTTGGATTCACAACCTGTTCTTGACATATCTATGTCACCGGGCAGGTTACTCCATCTCTTGGCTTTAGTTCTCTAAACTGAATAACCCTTCAAACTATTAAATGATGTTTGTTATTTAATGTACTGCTAGTAAGTTTGAAGAAGGCCAAAGTCACATACCTCAATCTGCCCTAGGAAATTTCATTAAGTAATTCAAGGTACTTTTTGGACACAGAAAGATGCATGTTTATCAAGTTCTGTATTCAAAGAAGAAGAAAACAAAATATAGGCTAAAATACAGAATTTGAAGACATATTTAAAGACACACATATACAAATATATAAGGACATATATTATATATATATATATAGCATCTTATAGCTGTTTCTTATTAGAAATAATCATATTTGGTTTGCATCTCAAATAAGTCCCTCTGTTAAACATTGAGAATAAAATCAGATCACTCATGTGTTAAGAGCTAGACAACTAGTATAGAAGGAAGAGTTACCAAGAGTTTCATGCTACATGGTAATGTACAACTTATGTTAAGACAGAGGAGCACTTAAATGTTTTCATGTACTTAAATAGACTCGAGGTGAGCAAACAAGCACTGTGGCAGAAGAAAGCTCATCAGAGGACACACGGCAGAACGCAGCACAAAGGAAGCACCGAAGCAGCACAGCCACGTGGAACACCGGGTAACAACAGCGGGTGAGCATAGAGCAAGTGAGGTAGTTTTAAAACACTTGGCAACAGACCCATTAGCCACCAACCAAAGTCTGAAGTGTAGAAACAAGGAAGACAGGAGTAATAAAGGAAATGTCACCTATTCTTTTGGAATCTAGACTCTATGTTATCTATCCTCAGCTCCACAGACCAGGAGACGGGAATGTGAATGGAGTGGAGGAAAGCAGCAGTGGAGAGAAGAGAGGAGGAACAGAAAATGAAAAAAATAACGCATGCAAAGTACTATGGTTTGGGGTTTTGTGGGCTGAACTGTGACAGAAGTAAAAATTTAAAAGAAAAAACTGCATACCAACTTTCCCTTTACTTTTCACTCAAGATTTAGGGCTCACTTAGGTAACCAACAAAAATGAATCTTTAAGTCCTTTAACGCTGGTTTCCCCTCAAATGTCCTTTTTCAGCCACACCCACATGAGGCTGATTATGAAGTAATAAGACCACATTTACAGGATACACACAAACATCTGTCTTGCTACTCTTTGGTCACACATGTATTCTCACTGGCTACAGCTCTGAAAATGAAGTATATATACAGACAAATATGCCAGAAGCAGTTAATTCTGGTGGGGAGAAAGTAGCTCTTGTAATTATCACAATCAGTGACAGCTAATTACTACAGTTAAATGATATGATGGCACATTATGAGGTAATGCTCATAACCAGTTAAATTTCTATAGCCCAATTTTGCCCATGTGCTTAGTGACTGTCTCACGAATCCATCTTCTTCCACTGAAATAAAGGATTAGTTTCCACCACCCCAATCATAAATCAATTTAATAAAAATTAGACATTTCAAAATAAACAGGAAAAGAGTAAAACTCATTTTTCATTTAGTTCTGAAAGGAGTAACAAAAAGTATATTACTGTTCTTCAGATTCACGAGAACTTAGAATTATGTTAGGATATTTAAAAGTTGAACATGTTTTCAGAAACACATATTCATTTTTATTATATAGACCAGATAATAATTCCTAATCTAATTCCAAAACACAAACCCAGATACCTCACCAACTAGACAATTAAAATTCCCAAACTGGTTCAATAATACTTCAAATTTTGAATTCACTATTTTGTACCAGGATTTTAACTGGAAGTATACGTAACTTCTGAATTTTCCTCCTGGTGGCTCAGATGGTAAAGAAACTGCCTGTAATGCAGGAGACCCAGGTTTGATCCCTGGGTCGGGAAATCCCCTGGAGAAGGGAATAGCAAGCCACTCCAGTATTCTTGCCTGGAGAATTCTATGGACAGAGGAGCCTGGCAGGCTACAGTCCATGGGATTGCAGAGAGTTGGACACAACTGAGCCAGTGATACTTTCACTTCATTTTCAAGCTAAAGTAACTTTTTAAGGAACAAAATCCTCTATAGCATGATCTTTCTGCTGAAAATTTTGGGAATCAGCTAACAATTTTTCAAAGAAGAAGTCCCAAAACATAGAAGAAGTACACTAATATTATAAAAAGTCTGGATCCAATTTACCTGAAGGAGAGCCATGTGCTGAGGTCATACTTTTGACCTTGGAGTCGGATAGTCGAGAGATACTGTTAGCTCTAATTCTAGGAGAAAATTTATCTGAAGGTACTAATCTGGCTCCACTTCTAATGATGGCTTCTGCGGTCCGTGAAGAGGCACTACTTCTAGAGATCGTTGCTTCAGAGTCACTGCGAGCCGATAATGAGCCAAGCCTTGTTCTACGAGGCTGAGCCAACAAATCAATCCTAGAAATGCTACGCCTTCCTGTGGGAGGTTTGGATGTCGAGCTTGTTGTGGACACTTCAGAAGCAACAGATGCTTTGTCAGCATCAGCAAGTTCACTGTCCGAAGCTTCACCAAGTCGGGCTCTGCGCAAGAGGGAAGTCCTGGTAGGTCGTGGCCTTGGGAGAGTGGTGGATTTACTGGACGAACCAGGTACTCCAGGAGAAGTCTTAGATTTAGTTACTTTACTTCCTTCCAGTTTGGAATGTGCATGCTCATCAGTTGAGGCAAGTGGAGTCCTTCCATGAGATTTACAAGAGTAAGTTTCCTGGTCAGATGACATAACATCAGAGATGGCCGAGTGAGGTACACTAGAGGTTTGGTCATCATCTGTTAAATCTACTGAAGGCTGCCTTATTCTTCCACTGGACTGCACAAATTTACGACCCTCTGCCCGAGAACCTATATCTGCGGAACGACTTTTTGTTTTTTTTTCAATTTTCTCCCTGGCACCCGAAGATGACGACTTTGCAACATCTTTGGAAGGAGAACCTGTGGAACACCTATCTTTATAGAGACTAGTGAAACTCTTTCGCTTTTGGGTTGACTTTCTTTCAGTCTCTCCAGTAACCAGACTGATGGTACTAGCTGTGTCCACATCAGATTCGGGTGAAATGGAGTTGTCTCTGTTATAGCTGGGAGTATCTGGGCCTTCATCAGTTTTAGTATCTTCACGCAGTTTAGCTTCTAGAAAAGCCATTACTGCTTCTGTGTCTTTTAGAATAAGGGTTGTGTCCATACTAGAATCAGTATCCATGGAATCACTTCTTTCTCTTATTCTGCTGGCTGTTGTTAATGCTAAGGAAGGGGGTGTTGATGAAGGCTGTTTATTTATATGGGGGATAAGTTCTATGGGTATGTTGGGGCTAGGTTTTTCTATAGTGAAGCTTCCTTGTCGCACTAATGACTTGGAGGATTCCTTCTTGTCTCCTCCCTTTGAAGTCTGACTTTTCAGAGTTTCCTCAGCTTTTCTTCTCTTACCCTCATTCTGTATTGCTCTTTCTCCTTTGCCTGTAGAAAGTCCTGGAATTTTTTCTTGAAGCTGTGACTCCTGCTTAAAAGACTCCTCCCTACATCTATCTATCTGACCTGCAATGTTTTTTGAAGAAGATAATTTAGTAGGTGTCCACTGTGCCTGTTCCTTTTGTTCTTGTTGCTGGATTTTAGCTAATGTTTGCTTTACCAAAGATGCTTCCTTATCAGTTTCACTTTTCTCCTTTCCAGAGTAAGAGCTGCCTAAGTGAAGCAGGGTTTTACTATCGCCACCATTTTTAAGAGTCTCACCATTCACTGCCCTGTTCATTTTACTCAAGGCTCTGTCAGTGTCTTGTTTATCTTTCTGGTATACCTGTGTAGGTGCTTCTTTCTCCTGAAGCTCCGTGTCTTGCTTTTCTCCTATCTCTGACCTCTGTGCTATAACCTTTGTTCTGGAGCTCTCAAGAGACTTTTCTTCACTTGGAAGCTGGGGAAGGGTTCGTCTCCTTCTCTCTCCCTGACTAGCCAGGGAAGCTGCTGAGCCAGCACTTCTCAGTGAAATGCCAGATTCACTGATATCTGTATCTGTAAAAGAAAGCAACAAATAAGGAACTTACTGGGGCAAAAAAGTGAAAATAAGACAAATGTCATATTACCTTAGATTCTGAAGTTAAGAAATGGCTTAAGTATAAAGTAAAACTTTGAAGAAATAAGCCAAGATTGTGACAGTGTAATTTAAATAGAAAATGCAACACTGAGATGCACAAATAGGTACATTACTAACAGGAGTTAAGAGAGCAAATCTTATGAGATGAAAATTAGGGTCATCTTATCTTAAAACTACATCTGTTGTTCTCTTTTTCTTTTAATGTCTTTTATGGGAGAGAAGTTCACATTCTTGCTTTTGTGACTTGTCCCATCTGTGAAATTTCACTCACAAAAAGTGGACTCTGCATAGTATATATAGAATTGTAAAAATAATGTCTAATAAACAGTTTATTTGCTATACTCTGAGTTACATAGTAAAGAATAATAATATACCCAATTTTTAATAAGCATCATAATCTACTGAAAGAACGATAAGTCTGGATTTCCTAAGTAAAACAGAAAATGTAGAATTTTAACAACGTTTTCTAAAAGAAAAAATTCAAAGCTAATTAAAAGATTTTTAACAATTATAAGAAAGGAAAAAGGTGACAGGATTTGTCATAATTTCACAAACTGAGTTATTTTCAAATTATGATCTTCTGGTATATTAAAGACTCAAACTGAGAAGTTGATGGGAAAATATATAACCTCAACGTTTCCATGTGACAGACTTTGAGAATATTACTTAAGGAGGACTTTCCTGACTGTAAATGAAATGTATTTCTGAGAAAAGGGATCTTTTTAGGGAAATATAAATTAACATATAAAGCATTTAAGTCTTCTGGGTATAAGTGGAAAAAAAGATAGTAGATATAGCTTCTGTGGCCATCCCTTTATAATTCTAAAATTTTAGCATCTAAATTTCACAGCAATACTATGGCTATAATATAGGAAAATAACTTAATAACTTACTAATGTAACTTTAATTTAGCAAATGATCATGTTATTTGGTTATGTCTTATCTCCACAGTACTACTTGAAGCACCAAACTTATTTAGTTATAGCTATTTTATCTTTTTGTACTTTTCTAGCATTTCTCACACTGTCCTGGCTCCTAACACATACTCAATGAATATTTGACAAGAACATTTTAGGATATAAGTAGATTTATCAGTTATAAGTAAGCTCATTTAGAATATGATGAAACAGGAACAAAATAATGAAGGCCAAGTATTATTAATTTTTATAACATGGGTAGAATTTTGCTTTCCACAGCTAGTAATACTTTTATAATGATTCTTTATAAATTCCTCTAGCCTGACTTGCTTTTTTGTTCCCCAAACAGTAATCAGTTTATGTGCACCAATCTGAAAATTATGCTGTCTTTCCAAAGATTTTTGGTAATACTAAAAATTACTTCTAATTTTTATGATAAACTATATAGCTTTTCTAGTACACTGCTGTATACCTTGCTCAAATACTTGCTGACTAATATTTACAAAATTCCTAAAATGATTTTTGGATGCCACAATAAACACGAAATAAGTTTCTATTTCAACTTCCAGTGATAACACAGCTAAGAAAACAGATAAAAAGCCAAATACAAATTCTCCTGAGTGTTTTATTTTTAATGAAGAATGTAATGAACTGAATCTAATAATAAAATCATAAGAGGCATCAAAATTTTTGTTTTTTTAAAGAAACTTTATATTTCAGTTCACAGAAATATAGTAAAAAGGTAGTAATAAAAAACATACATTTGTAAAAGATATATTTAATAAATTAAGTTGTATTAAGTAAATTTTCTTCATTGAACATATGGAAAAAAGTGGCATTTAAATATTTCATGTGTTAGTGAATGGGACAGTTTGGAACTATATTAGTCTTATTTTTAAATTTTCACATGTATATATGTTATATACATATAGTCATATATAAGTTTTTGTGAGTATACACACACACACACATACGCTTCATCTACAAATCACCTCTATTTTCAGCTAGGGTTACATTAATGATGTCTGCATTTTTAGTGAAAATAAAATCTATATATAGTAGCTTGAGATTATGTGAATATATTTATTTAGGTTTAATTCACTTCTCACTACACAGACTTAGCTTATAGTATTTTAAAAACTGAGTTATGGCTCATTAAAAAAAAAAAGGAAAGAAAATACCATGCTCTAAAGGAACAGGTACAGACAACTCCATTATTCTTTCTTCTTGATCATGCCTTGTGTGATTGGCAGCCAAACTAGCCCATTGTGAAACCCAACGCTTGTTTCCAGACGAAGATGTACCTTCCTAAGGGAGAGAAATAAAAGAATGAAATGAACTAGTCTGTCAAGTCTGTTCTCATGTTCAGAGAATTTTATTTAGTCATTAAATTCCCTTTAACATATCATATAAACCAATATTTAAACCTCACGTCGATATACTATCATTTGTTATATTTCCTTATATATAAAGATTTTTGAGGGCATCTCTTTTAACTATGAGATTATTACAGTGAATGTAGTAAAGTTTTCTGTGCTTATTAAGTACTAACAATGGTACTAAAATAAACTCGTAGAGCTTAAAATTTACTGATGCTAAATAAACTTAGGCGTACTACAATAGCTTCATGGCTAGCACAGCAAAGTTAGTTTTACTCCATTCTATAGAACAGAGAGCCTAAGACCTATTTCTAAGTTGTTCTTTAGTCCTTTAAATGTTTCCATAAATCAGACTGGTTCCACACTCTCAGGGCATATTAAAATCTACCAGATCATGTCTTCAGGGATTTCAAATACAAGGCCAAAGCTTTAGGCTTCTTTCTACAATACTTAGTATTTCCAGAAGAAGCTAGAACTCACTTAAATCTTTAAGAATTTTTATCTAACCAGTCTGAACATAGACCTGTCCCATCTAGACCTATCTTTAAGGCAAATGATTAGTCAAGTGTGAAACAGAATTTAATTCTTGATATGGTTCCATATACATGGATTATATATTGGTAATTCTTAAGCCCAGGTCAATCTATGTATTTAAGATAGAAGATCTAGGTGTACAGAAAAAAATGTTTCCTCACTAGAAACTTAAGTCAATGCTCAGTACTGAATCTGTAATGATAACTAAGAATTGGAAAGCTCTGATCAAATTTTATTCTGAATTATTTCAGAAAGCATTTTATTAAAAGTGTCAAATGGCAGTCTAAAAACTGATAAATATTTCGTAAGGCTATGTACTATATGATTTCAAGAATAATGGATTAAAATAGTAAGTTGCATACAAAGTGACATACATACAGTAAAGCCTAAAGATACCAAAGCCTGCTGAATCTTTGAATTCCCACCAAGATTTTGTGGGAGTTGTTCACAGTTCTGAGACTGACGGAGGTACCAGAGCCATTCACATCATTCTAGGAATACCCACAACAAAATGGGTTTCAAAGACACACATTTATGTAGGCCCATCCTGTGAAGACTGTTCCAATGGCTGGTTTAGGTGGTTCCTTCAAAGGCAGGTACACACTTGGGCTATGTATGAAGTTACTTGGCATGGGCTGAGGGGCTACAGAGGAGAGGGAGTCCGGCAAGTTCAGAGTCACAGCGCCCTTTCTAAATTAATCAGAGCGCCAAAACACTGCTTTCAATAAGCACCCCTTGCTTTCAGTAAGTGAGCATCTTGGAAAACATCAGAACTGCTCTGACAGTTTTCAGGAAACAGCAGACCATAAAGGGAAAAAGTTTATATTAGTAAGCAAATACATATCTGAATTTAGTTGACTATAAAGAATACATTTCACAAATACTTCATTTATATTTTGTTTTATTTATACCTTGATTTAATTTATATTTAGTATATATTTTCTATTTGTATATTTTAAAGTAACTCATTTTTAGAAAGGTAATTAATGAATAAGAGAAAGGGTTAACACATCAAAGCTCTTTAAGGTTCAAATTCTGGCCTCACAAGATATGAGTTTTAAGCCCTTGACCAAGTTAATTTCTACATACTTCAGTTTCATTATTTGTAAAATGGTACGCAGAAAGCTTCCACTGAATGTTAGATCTTGTTAGTTGAATAAATTATAATATTGGAAGAAATGTAAAAAAAAATTATATATGACTGGTCGTATATAATTTTTTTTTACATTTCTTCCAATATATTAGTGTACAATGAAACTCTAATAACATTTCTAGTATTTGGATAAACATTTGTTGACTGCATAAATCTAAGACAATTACTCTGCTAGGTACTTTTTATCCTTCATATCCTTCCCTGTAAATAGGTTTTAGAAAAATACCATTTGCATAGATGAGAAAACTAAAGATGAGAAGAGGGGAAATGACTGACTCAAAGACACCCTGTTAGATGTGGCAGTTCTAGGATCTGTACTCAGGTCTTAGAAGCTCTACTACACTACACTGACTTCCGTAACTATCAACCAACCCACCCTTTCTAGTTGCATCCTGGGATGCACTACAAGGGCACTTATTTAGGTTTCTAAGTTGTATGTATGTATCAGGCACAACCTTGCATGATAGATCTTTCCATTCCAAATACATGACCGTCTAGTAAGTATATGCAGTGTGTGTGTGCATATTAACTCAATGTCAGAGATAGTGAGCATATAGCTCATTAACTGCTAACTGAAATTTAACATTTTCACTGACTGATAAAAAAATACTACAGTGTTTTACAAGAGGATATATTAACTGCTGAAAATTATAGCTGACCCTTGGAAAAAAGTGAGGGCCGAGGAGGAATAAGAGCTCCAACCCACTGTGAAGTCAAAATTCCATGTATAATTTTGCAGGTGGCCCTCTGTATCAATGGTTCCCAATCCTTGGATTCAATCATGGATCATGCACTACTGTAGTATGTATTTGTGTGTGAAAGCGGAACTGTGCAGTTCAAACTCGTGTGGTTCAGGGGTCAGCTGTAATTAACAAATGATAAAAATCTATATTTTGCGCATGTAAAAAATGTGAGGAAGATGTGTATACCTCTGAGTTGTGAAATCCAGGTGTACTCAGTGGTTTTCTTTCTTCCATTACTACTGCAGCAGAACTGAGAGCCCAATCTTTTATCAGATCTTTATGTTTTTCATTGATAATAGGCCTATTATAATCTTGATTGTCATCTACTCCAAATACCTAGGAGGAGAAAATTATTTTATAAATGAGATTCTGAGTAGCAGATAAATATGTGAGCATTATCATTAACTTCCGAGCTAAAAAACAGTATTTTAAGTTAATTTCATAGGTAAATTCAATAATGAGGGAAACTTGTTTAATGATAGGGTAACATCCAATAGGAGTAATAGCTGGAAATGAAAACAGGGCAGTGGTAGCTTATGTAAATGTAACTAACCTTTTTTTAAACATTTAGCAAATGTACCATTTGATAATAAATAAGAGATATTCAGGATATTACATTTGCTTTGTTAAAAGATGTTAATAATGTTAGGCATTTTAAGATGCCAAGTGTTAGGATAGAGTACCATACCACTTCAGCTTGTCTCTGCTTTTGAGAAGCATGCTGGAAGCTTAAAGCTTATGGTTGATTTTATCTGTTCCTTCCCAAAAAAGTGCTTAATATTTACATACATGAATTAAATTTATACATATAATTTTCTCAGGTACTAAATAACAGATTTTATTGTATGATCTTTGTATAAAATATACTATAATTCTTAAACTTTGTGTAGAGTAGAACATAATTTTTAAACTTTAAAGGCCTTTGTTTGAAATGCAGATTCCTGAGTCTGTTCACACAGGTTAGCATTTTCAATAAGAAGGCTGTCTGTACTCAACACTTCTGAAATATTCTAAACACAGAGACCAACAATCAATCATGTACCTTTAAGGGCAGTTACCTGAGTCTTACTCATTTACTGACACAACTAAGGCTTTGAATTGACTGGGAAAAGTTTATAACTATATAAACTTTAACACTGTTTTACCATTAAGTCTATTTGATTGCCAATGGTTATTGTTTATAGGTATTAATTGTGGTTCTAATTATTAAAATAAAGAATGGTAACATGTGCTTGAATTAGCACTTTGTAGAAGACAGATTTAGAATAAAATCAAAGAGCCTTCATTTTCTACAAAAATGGAAAAAATCTTTAAGTTAAACTATTTTCTAGAAAACTTTTTAATGATATGGTACTTTTTAACGATAGCTGATAAATTCTGAAGTCTACATTTAGTAAAGCAAATATCAAATTGGCAAAATTCACTGAACTTGGAAATGTTACCACTAGATGTCATTACTTAATGTTTAATTCAAATATAACTGTACAGTTTTCAAGAATTATGATTTAATATTCTGTTGAACCACTCAATATTCAAATTATCTTTGTTTTAAGAGAAAATTGGGTATTATTTGACTATTAAATCAAATATTAATTTTTTTAGTATACAGAAGGGAAAAAAAAAACCCATTTCATTCTGCCAAACAGTAGAATTAGCAAGTTTAACAAGAACAGCAGTGAGACATACTAAATATATCTTTCCATGTGCTCTGCCTTCAACTCCACTTGTAAAGAAAGAAATCAGAACTACTAAATTATGCGTGACTACCTTAACATTTAAAAATTATCTCTAACTCAAGTCACTGAACTCCACATTTACTGAAGCTTATTTTCTTATTTGCATAATCACACACAAAAAATTACAACTCAAGTTTTTGAGCAAAAGATAAAAATAATCACATGTGATTACTTGTATGTTATATCTCTCTGGCACATTAATATAAAATTTACCTTCAGTTAATTTCTGATTTGAAGATATTTAATTCTAATCCATACTTGAAATGGACTTCCAAAACTTTGATTTCCTTAAATATCTAAGCATCAGCAGTTCCGAATCTATTAAATCTCTTCAAATTGCTTCTGACACTATTTTGAAATAATAATGAAAGACACACACAGAGAGAACTAATGTTTTTAGGGAAGGGGACTGAAGCTGTACAGAAAGTGTAGTCACATGACTTCCTACAGATTCCTCTTAAAACATCAGAGATATTAACAGCTATACACATATCTGTCACAGAAGTAGCAATTTATTGATATTTTCCAAACAAGTAATACGGCCTGAAGTAGTGCTTGCTTTATGAGCAAGGAAGCCTTCAAAGTTCATACCTATATTTTTGATAGTGTTTGGAAAAATTAATGATACTAATAACTAGTTCAGCTTGAAATCTAAATTGTCATTTTCATGTCTCAGTATAAAAAATCTACAACTTTCATGTGAAAACAAAGAAGACAGAAACAGCTATACTCTGTGTACTTTAAAGCTATAGTACTTTTCACATCTAAAAAAGTACATATAATCTGACATGCATACATAATTTAAACACAACTTGAAGGCTCCTCAAAGCAGAGACCAAGCTTGGTAGATTTTCTCATCTTTTCATTCTAGATTTTGTCCCCAGGTGATGGTCACTGAAATCACTAACTGCAAAGTTACTCAACCTGTCTGCACTTTCTCCTCCTAGATGGCTCAGTTATATTACAAACACACTGTGCTAACCTAGGCTCATGAATCTTTTCTCTTCCCCACTATACAGGGCTCAATTAACCCCCAAACCTGATAAAGTACAAAATCAGGGTGTCTCTCACTCAGCTAGAAACCTTTTTAGATTAGAAGTCTAAAGTTAGAAACAAAGAAGCAGGTATCTGTCCAACTTTTGTATTTCCTAAGTAGAATCCTCCCAAGTTTGTCAGTTTTTAATTTTTCCAAAGGGCATGGGGAAGGAGCAGGAGCGGTATGGGAACAGAAAATTTCTTTTTGAACTTGTACTCTCTGTGCTCTCTGGTACTGGCAGTTTAAAAATAATTTATTTACCTTAGGGGCTGGGAGTGGTTTTCATGTATTCTTCCCTATAATTCCCTTGATCCAGACAGATGCATCTCTATAGAGGGAAGTGACCTGTGACTCCTCTAGGGTTTAGGGTAAGAAGATAGAATTAGGGAACATGTTCTCAATCTCTTCCTTTGAATATGTACATGTGATACGTAGCAACTCACTTTGGGATTTCACAGCTATACCTCATTGGCTACTTTAAATAGTCTTAACAACCTGCTACTGAGGTATGGAAACATTATTTGTAAGTTGTTGGCTTCACCACCGTAGGGCATTTAAAAAATAAACAAACAAACTATATATAAGCTCAGTTGCTCAGTTGTGTCCAACTCTTTGCAACACCCTAGACTGTAGCCCACCAGGTTCCTCTTCCATGGGATTATCCTGGCAAGAATATTGGAGTGGGTTGCCACCTCTTACTCATATATATGTATGTGTGTGTGTGTGTGTGTGTGTATATATTTTGTTTTTGCTGTCCTTGCTCTCAAGGAGCTGAGGTCTAAATAAGGAGCTTAGGGGAAAAGAAAAACAAAAAAACAGAATGCCATTTGAACCAAGCAGAGGTACTCTGTAGTTAAAAAAGAACTAGGCAATATTTTTAGATTTAATTTTAAATTTAAAGAAACTAAACATTCTTCAGGATGATAAAAGAGTAGCATGTATAACACAAAGTGAGCCTATGAAAAGTCTGACCTTGGTTTTTCACTACCATATTATCACTATCGTCATTATTAGTTAAAGGTTCAGACTATATTGAGAATGTCCAGTGTCTATTCTGAAATTGGAAGTTGGAGGAGGAGGAATAATGGTCTATCAAACCCAAGATTAACTTTCATGGGGGTAAATATTACACCTACTGAATACTTGAAAGAGGGATCAAATTACATTTGGTAATCTCAGACATAGGTTGCACACATTTTGTGACAGAAAGCTGACAGAAGTGTGAAAAAGGGTAGAGGAAGAGAGAAGACTTCTGCATACAAACGGGATAATACTAATGTAGAGCAAAAGAGCAAAGTGAATAGCAATAGTTGTCAATGTATTAGTTTAAAATTTTTCCAAATCAGTTGAAATTTGTAATTTATTCTCCCACAGAAATGGAAATGGGGCTTCCCTGGTGGCTCAGATGGTAAAGAATCTGCCAGTCTCTACTAGTTCAAAACAACAGTAGAGTTTCTCATGGGTTATGGAAATCACCTGACACATAATAGTTCAAGAACTATGCAGAATGTTAGCCATTAACATCAGGGAACAAAATCAGGAAAATTTAATACAAGTTGAATTTGCAACTTTCCAAGAAAATCTAATTTCATTTTTAAAATTCAAAAGCCGACAAATTCACTGGAATAAATGGCCCTATACGTTTAACACTGTTATTTCTATATTTTTAACCAATTTTTAAATTTAAAATCAGACAAAGTTATAAAAGCTCAGAACGAGGGTACAAGATATATAATTCAGCATGATACACAAATAAATACAAGTACATGCATGTTTTCGGAGCATTATTCACAATAGCCGAAAGGTAGAAACAACTCAGATGTCCGTTAACGAGTGAACAGATTAAAAAAAAATTTGGTATACCCACACACTATTATTATTTTTTTATTATTCAGTCAAAAAAAGGAATGAAGTATTGATGTATGCTACAGCACGGACAAACATTGAAAAGACTGTACAAAGTGAAAACAGCAAGTCATAAAAGGCCACATACTATGAGATCCCATTTATATGACATGGCCACAAGAAGCAAATCCACGGATGCAGTACGTAGACTGCTGGTTGCCAGGAGCCAGAGGACAGAGTGACTGCTTAACAGGCATGGGATTTCTTTATCAGGTGATGAAAATGTCCTAGAGTTACACAGTGTTGATGGCTGCACAACAATGTGAATGTACTAAAAATCAACAAACTGTACACTTCAAATGGCTAATACAGTAAATGTTATGTGAATTTTGTTGTTTAGTCACTAAGTTGTGTCTGACTCTTTTGTGACTCCATGAACTGTAGCCCATCAGGCTCCTCTGTCTATGGGATTCTCTAGGCAAGAATAATGGGTTGGGTAGCCATTTCCTTCTCCGGGGGACATTCCCAACCCAGGGATCGAACCCACGACTCCTGCATTGGCAGGTGAATTCTTTACCACTGAGTCACCTACCTGTTTGTTTGTTTTTAAAGGCACCATATAGAGTTCCAGAAAAACATCTATTTCTGCTTTATTGACTTTGCCAAAGTCTTTGTGTGGATCACAATAAACTGTGGAAAATTCTGAAAGAGATAGGAAT